AAGCTCTCTGCGTTAATCATCTATAAAATAATGAAAAGCAGTATAAGTCAACTCTTCAACTTTCAGGACATTGTTCACCCGAAACCCGAAATCCAATAACTGTGCACTGTCTTCTAACACAGCCATAATTTACCTAGATGTACTGCTTAGAAGTCTCACTCTGATGGTGACCTTAGTTCTATTTGTCCCTGGAGAGCCACCAGACCATTTTGTCTGGAGGTTCTCTGCTCACTGGACAATAGGGACGGTGGAATTGTCCTCATTCTTGTTCATGAGTCTTTAGAAACCAAATGACCCCAGAAATGTCATGGAAGAGATTTTTAGGTCCCAGAGGAACTGAATGACTTAGGCATCCACCTTCTGAACAGAGGCTGGGCCAGAGATTTCTCAAGATCCCTTCAACCTTGGTGTTCTGTACACCTTGATTTACAAAGTGGTCTTGATCTTTTCCAGTTAAAATTCCATTTAGTAGAGATACACAGAAAGTTTGCAATTCTTCCACAAGAAAACTGCTGTATGGCATAGAAAAATATCTACGTAATTTTTTTGGTTTCTTCTTCCTAATTAGCTTTCCTATTCTTCCTTAGGAAAACAAAAAGCCCTTTCTCCTGATTCACCAAAAAATAAAATACTGACTGCCATCACTGTGATGAGATTCCTATAGTCTCAAGAACTGAAGTCTTTAAACAACCAGGGGACCCTCTGCCCCTAGAATAAGAACACATTAGAAGTCCCTTCTGCTAGGACAAGGAGGTAAGTGCTTCTGGTAAAAATGTATCATATGTGTGTATCTGTGTGTGTGTGTAAGAGATACATATACAAATTTATACATATTTGTACATTTATATACATATGTACAAATATACATACATATGTATGTATATTTGAGATAGGGTCTCTCTGTTGACCAGGCTGGAATACAGCAGTGTGATCATAGTTCACTGCAGCCTCAAACTCTTAGGTTCAACGGATCCTCCTGCCTCAGCCTCCCAAAGAGCTCAGACCACAGGTGCACATCAGCATGCCTGGCTAATTTTTCTATTTTTTGTAGAGACAAGGTCTCACTGCGTGGCCCAGGGTGGTATGGAACTCCTGGGCTCAAGCAATCTTCCCATCTTGGCCTCCCAAAGTGCTGGAATTACAGGCGTGAGTCACCATGCCCAGTTCTATCTTCAAAATATTAATGGGGAAAAATATTGCTGGGGTACTTAAGTTGTGCCAAGTACTACAGGGGGATCCTGTGTGAATAAAACTGAGTGCCTGCCCCTCAAGACTTACAATCTAGTGGAGAAGGCATAATGTAATAAACATGCCATGATGGAGATGTACCCAGAATACCAGGGGAGGGAGATGAAGAGTGTATGTAGGCCGGGCGTGGTGGCTCATGCCTATACTCCCAACACTCGGGAGGCTAAGGCAGGTGGATCGCTGGATCCCAGGAGTTCGAGACCAGCCTGGGCAACATAGTGGAACCCTGTCTCGACAAAGCAAAAACAACAACAACAACAAAATTAGCTGGGCATGGTGGTGCAAGCCTGTAGTCCCAACTACTTGGGAAGCTGAGGTGGAAGCATCACTTGAGCCCAGGGGGTTGTGGCTGCAGTAAGCCCTGATTGCACCACTGTACTCCAGCCTGGGTAACAGAGCGAGACCTTGCCTCAAAACAAAAGAAACTAGTGCACGTAGAAGTGTGAGAAGTGCACATAGAAGTCTCACGGCAGAGGTGGCCTCTGAGGTGGCCTTCAATGGGGCATTTGGAATGGGATGAGCAGATGAGATGTGCACGAGCATTCTAAGCCCTGGGACCAGCCTAAGCTGAGAGATCAGGTGGAGGGCAGACTCTGAGAATGGCAAGTTAGACGTTGAGCACAAGGCAGTGATGGGACGCCAGTGTAGATACAGCTAGGAAGGCAGGGTGGCTGGAGTTTCCCCCTCTGTGAAATGAAAGGGTTCAAGCACCGAGGGCCTCTCCTGTCAACCATTCCAGAATTTGCTTAGAGTCTGTGGTGGGGACCCTGAGGTCATCCTGAAGAGTTTGAGTGATAATGGGCATGAGGAATCAGTGAAGACTTCTAATCAGAGTCATGCCCTAGGAAGCCCCCTCAGATAGCAAGGGGTGTGTGTGTCAGGGTCAGGCTTACTCTGGGAGCCTAGCAAGGTGGTGTCTCCCATATCTAGAGAGGAGGCAGTGGAGCCTTGCAGCCGAGCAGTGGCTGTAGAATTGGAAGAAGGGGAATGGATGCTGGAGGCATCCTGATGTGAAATTCACAGAACTGGCCGCCAACAGCATTGATGCCCTGCTTGAGGCTTCCTCCAGCTGGGAATTAAGGAAACCAGAATGACCTCACCCTCCTGGTTAGATTTTAAGGATATATACACTAAAGACAGAAATGAGGATCCATGAGCAAAGATGAATATGAGGCAGTGTCTGACCAGTGAGAAGGGTCTCAGAAAGGCCATAGCCCTAAATGCTCTGAATGTGGGGGAAATGCTACAAATATGCAAAATGATTTTTCAAGCTCTGTTCAGATAAGGAAGAAGCAACAAGCTCACTGTCAGAAGCAGATGGTGCAATGGTGTAATACTAGCAGATAACCACTCCCTGACAGGAGAGAAGTGATGGCCCATGTAGGAGAGAAAGAAGCAAGCAAGTGACGTGTGGCTGTTCTGAATCTGCCCAAGTCCTTCTCAGACCAGCCCATCTCTGCACCTAGCAGCCTTTTCTGCAGGGCCACGAAGAGGGAAGGAGGCACCAGGCAGGATGTGAGCAAATTCATTCATTCAGTAGATATTTGCCAACATACTACATTCTAGGTGCTGGCAACACGGTGAGCCAAAGAGAACCAAACAATACCTGGCCTCCGGAACAAAATTCTGATTCACAAAATGGGACACAGGTGGGCTTTTAAACCACAAACCAGTGAGCTTGACAGCAACTGTGGACAAATTTCTAGGTTTGGTAGGTGGTCTGCAGCTCTGTGGAATGGTGTGGGGATCCCTGTATGTCAGCCTGTGTTTCTGAATGGTGAGTCACAGAGAACTCAGCTTGTTTCCATCCTGACAGGGTTACCCTTTTCTAGCAACTCTAGGAATTTGGCAGGGCATTGACAGTCTCTCGGGGTACCCCCCAACCCCCACCCATTGCTAATGGAACAAAGGCTGCACATAAAAGTGCACATGAAAGGGAAATTTAGGCTACACTTAATAGATGTGCTTTGCATTACGGAATCATAAAGACCTAGAGAGGCAAACAGACCCTAATGAGACCACCCGGCATCAGTAAATAAATCAACCATTCTGCAGTGCACAGAAGCCTCGTGTGCTGATTCTCTGAGTCCTCTTTAGATAACAGTAGTCAGTCGACAGTCTTATACCCCGCTGTGTTAATCCCTGATGCTAATGACTGTTGCTGCTCAGGCGTGTGATGGGTCTGAGGAGAAACCTAGGTAGGAGCTCGCTTTCCATTCTGCTCACATGAGCGGACTGCCTGTTCCTGGCTGTGGAGTGCATTTTGCACTCACGTTTGCACGAGTGAGCTGCCCTCCCTCCCTCACCTCGTTAGGCTGAGTGTGAGCTGCCTAGGGCCCAGTCACACCTGCCTGACCCCAGCTTCCCCTCCCAGTGGCGCTGCTGGGTGCTGCTCCCCGGGACTGCGGCAGAGCCCTCCTCGCGGGCGCCGCTCCTGACATGGTGTCCGGCCGCACGGATGACCGGTAGAGGGCAGCAGCGCGCTCCGGGTCCTGAGCAGGGCCTTCCTTGTCAGACTGGCAGCAGGTCCGCTGCTGAGGGACGGGGCCTGATGGGCTAGGGGCAAGGGCAACCTGGTGAAGGAGTGGGATCACTGCAGGAGGAAGAGAAAGAGGAGACGTGGAGAAGTGGTGCTGACCACATTGGCGTGTTGAACACTGCACATTTATGTGGGCCCCAATGTGCCTGGCGCGTGCACGCGACCGGAGCCCAGCCGTCAGGTGTAGACATGCAGGAGGCTGGCAGATGGGTTAGAAGAGCAAGGAGGCACAGCAGTTGGAGGTGTCAAAAGAGGGTTTGAAGAGAAAGCCCGGAGTGCCTGGAATGGTGAGGAGGCATGAGGAGGCTGACACCGTGAAAGGCAGGGACGGCTCAAGGGCACTTTCAAGGCCATCAGGGAATGGTGTGGAGAAGTGAGCGCGCACAACAGCTGGAGGGGGCGGTTGTGAGGAGGGTCGGAGAGAAGGCCCTCCTTTCACCGGTAGAGGGTCGTGACTGCAAGGTGTCCAGGTTCTTGGGGTTTTGAACAAAGAATTGGACAAAACGCCTAGCAAAGCAAAGAAAGAGTGAAGCAACAAAAGAACAAAAGCAGGGATTTATTGAAAACGAAAGTACACTCCATAGTGTGGGAGCAGAGCCAAGCAACGGGCGGCTCAGGGGCCTGGATGCAGAATCTTCTTGGGTCCAAATACCTGCTAGAGGTTTCTCATTGGCCACTTCATGCTCACCTTATGTAAATGAAGTGGTGGCCCGCAATCAGGCTGATTGGTTGCAGAAAGCAGCTGACCAGAGGCTGAAGTGAATTTACAAAGGCCAGGCTCCTGTGCAAAATACCTGATTGGTTGCAAAAAGCAACCAATCAGTGGCTAGGAAGAAGTTACAATTATTCTTCTATGCAAATGAAGACTCGGCAGGGAATCAGTCTGATTGGTTGTGGACAGCAGCCATTCAGAGGCTGGAGTGAAGTTACAAAGTTGCAAATGAAAACTCACCTGCAATCAGTCTGATTGGTTGCAGACAGCCAATTTCCCATCTGCTGTGCAGAAAAGGACAAAGGGAGTAGCGTCTGGTCCTTTTGTTACTTAGGCGTGGAAAGTTTGGGTTTTCCTTTCAGTTTAGTTCTAGGAAGTCAGCGTGAAACAGCCTTAGGTTCCCTGCTTCCAGACCCTATTCTGCCTCACTCCCACATTGTTCCATTGTCAGGAATAAACGACTCGGGGGGTAAGGTGGACCTCCAGATGAAGATGAAGGTAGAAGGGGAGGAGAGGCTGAGAGGCTAACCTGCCACTGGGACCCAGGGCCAAAGCCCTTTATGATTGAGGGAAAGTGACCACAGATCAGCAGATGATGGCTGAGAGATGTACTGGAGCGGGACCGTGGTCCGGTCCTGAACAACACATGCAGCCATGCCCAGAGATGCTAGGTTTAGAGGCTAACATGCAGTAGACAGAGCTGCTTGACCTTAAGTTACTTAACTTCTCAGGGCTTCAGTTTCCTCATCCGTAAAATGGTACCTACAGTAATGGTACCCAGTAATAGTACCTACAAAAGACTGGGAAGATGAGGGAAGGGAGGGAGCTCCCAGCTGTGTGGGGAGGAGCGTACAGGCGAGGGTAACCCACCATATGGTATTATAGGGATTTGTGTCTATTTCTGTTCTCCCTCCAGACTCTAGCCTCGTGGTTCTCAGACATGGGTATGCATCAGAATGACCCAGATGCATTAAAAACACTGCCAGGTCCGAGCCCCAGAGCTTCTGATTCAGTGGGGCTGGGATAAGGCCCAGTAATTTGCATTGCTCGCTAAGCCCAGGTGCTGCTGCTGCTGCTGCTGCTGGTGGTTCCGAGACTGCACTGTGGGCACCACTGCTCTGGAGTCTGTAGAGCCCCAGCAGGGACTCCTGTTGAGAAGAGACGGGCACATAGTGGGAGTAACTCTAGGACAAACAAAAATTCCAGATACAGTGCAAGAAGAGGTAGTGCTGAATGAAAAAGCGATCACTCCAG